GGGTTTCAAACTCAGGTCCTTGTGCTTGCAAGGCAGGCAGCAGCACCAGTGACCCAAATCCCCGACCCGACTTTTTTACTTTTTAAATAACTGTTCAAACAAAGTATTTTTACTAGTTGACTGTAGATTGATAGCCTTTCCAGTCAGTAGATCCTGATACAACTTAAATATTGGATATAATGAGATGTTATTTGAAGAAAATAATTATCTAGATCTAGCTATACTTATATTTAATATTTCTAGCTGGATATTTCCAATTCTTCCACCTTGATCTCCAGTGTTATTTTGCATTGGAATTGATAAATTTTCATATTCCATTTTAAATGGTAAAAGTTCAACAAAGTACACCGGTAGCAGTTGGCTCAATTTATTGTATTATTGGAGGGTCAGAATAAAAATCAGATACAAATTACTTGCTATTCTCATTTTATTTTTATTATAGATTGTTAAAACAGGCTCTTCTAAGATGAATCCTCACCTATATTTTGTGTAGTTTCAAAAAGTATTTTTTTTGTGTTTGTATGTGTCCTTCACAGCCATTTGCTTTTTTAGACCTTATTTCCTAGGTTCAGTATTTCTTGAATTTATTTGGAAGACCCTCTGTGAAAAAGCCCAGAAATATTCTTTTCTAGGTGTCTCCTCAGAGAGCTGATGATACCTCCTCACCTTGTGCTTACGGCACAGTTATGCAGAATAATTAGTTGATACATAAAGGAAAACAAGAATGTTGCATATACTACTACCTTGTACATTTATTTGTCTTTATTTTAGAATCACATATTTTTGTTCAAATCATTTTTTTTTTCTGGCACAGTGGGTTGAACTCAGGACCTTGCACTTTCGAGGCAGGCATGGCACCACTGAGCTACATCCCCAGCCCTCAAACCATTTTTTCTTAATTCAAACACAGTTAAATTCAACCAGTGTAAATCTGTTAAAACTAAATGGACAGGCCTGTAACCAAAAAGAAGTTCCAGTGCAGAGAAATAAGTCCCCAGTCAGGGGTTTTTACTTTTGGTAGCTTGTACATCTTCATATCTCCCTGACACAAACTTATTCCTGTCTTTGAGCAGCTGTTTATATGGAGAAGTAAAACCTGCCATTGAAGGAATGCATTTTTGATGGACTATTAGCCTTGATTTTCTATTATGTCATTTAGGACAACTGAGGGCTTTACTTGGTAGATGTTAACCAATCAATTTGAAATTTGGATGATTGAGCTCTCACATTCTCTACTCTACATTGCCAGGCTTTTGTCACAACTCCAAATTTGTTGATACAAGATTGGGCTTGGCATTCTTATAATATAATGTAGTTTCTCCTTAAGTTTGAATTTCTTTAAATGAATACATGAGTAAATTAGAGAATGAGTGAACATACATTTATGAAGTACCGAGAAGCGCCAAGCATTGTGCCTGAAACCTTCAAGCATCAGAATATTTTATGTATTTCCAGTGACATTTTCTGTATGAGAGTAATTCATACTGTTACAAAAGTTTTCCAATGTACATCATATTACAAAATTCTTAATTTTATATTTCATTTAAATTAGTGAGGAAAAAGAATAATATATTTTAAATAAAGTGTTACTATATAATACTAACTATAATTATAGTTAGTAACTAAAATATCTTGGAAAAGGTCAAAGAAATATTTGATTCTGGTGCAACTTTGACTAAAATATTTACTTTAGAAATAAAAACATTCTTATTTTGGTATATCACTTTATAATTAAAGTCAATATTTTATAGGTAGGCTGGTTATTTTATACTCAAAAAGCTTCTCAGTTCATGAGTAGAATCAGCAATTATAAGTTTCTTTGTTTTGGTATACTTCCTACTAATGGTAGTATCTATATTTCTTAAATATATAAAGAAAAACAGTAAAAAATTAATGTTTTTCCTCATTTGTATATACATACATATTTCTCTGATTCTCACATTCCAACTAATATCATGTGTTCCGTTTGAATGATACCGTAGTCAGTTTCTTCTATTGAGCAAGGCAGAGTACCAAATTACCAAAGGGACTTTCATTTAGAATTTATGAGAAAACTTTTTGAATAAGTTATTTGATTTATATTGTGGTGTTAAACTGTTGCTTGGATTTATAAAGCAGTAAATAGATTTTTCAGGAAGATCATCCATGACAGCCTGCGGGTAAGAATAAAAGTCATTTTCTAGTAACTATATAATACAGAGTGAAAAGATTTGACTAGACATTGAAATGGAAACAATGGGAAAGCTTCAACTTGCATAGCTGAACATATGGTGAGTACTCTGAGAAGAAATATGTGATTTTGAAAGGAAGGCATCTTTAAAAAATTTTTAATTTTAGTTGGCAGAGAAAACCCAATGGGATTGTCTGCAACACCCAGCCAAAGGGGAAAAAAGATCCAAGAGTCAAAAAACCATAAAGAATCACAAGAAGAATCTGAGGCTAGCAGTCTCTTAATCTCTGCAGCTGCAAGTAAGCAACAGTTTTTTTTTTTTTTAATTTCTTTTGGCTTGTTTGTCTGCATTGATTCTTCTTGTGGCTACCTGGGGAAGAACATCATATTATTTTTGTAATACATATTACATTATACCATATGAATTGTTTTTATGCTGTTATATTTTTATGCTCTAGTTTTATATTTCAAAAATTACATTTATTTAAAAATGTGTTTATTTCTCTGTCTTAAATTTAATTTTTACTCCAGAACAATGGCTTCAAAAGAAGAAGGTATTATATCTTATGTCACCCACAAAATATTTCATGAATATATTTTATGAAGAAAATACAAATTCTCACCAAAGTGTAAGCAACAACAAAAATAACCTTCATTTTTCTGACATAGAAACTGAGCCATGATTAAATTGCTCTAGGTCAAGAGATTTGAACTTCTAGTTTCTTAGTCATATTTTTCTTGCTTCTAAATGTAATGTAAATGTGTTACATTCCTCTGAATGATATATGATATCTGACAAATTCTGTGCATCAGAATCTAATCAGTGAAACAGTAGACTATGCTGTCTTTGAAACCTATTTTGGGAGACAGAGAAATTAAAATGTTCCCTTTAGAAAGTGAGTTTTGATAATCATAAATAAGAGCCTAATGGTATAATTGACAATGTGAAATAGGAAGAAAATGGCTAAAGGTGTAGGGGAAGTGGGAAGTGTAGGGGAAAGGAAATAAGGGAAGAGAAAAAATATGAGAAAATGAAAAGATGGAAATAAGGTTTTTGTAAATAGGGAAGGGAGGAGGGAGTGAAGGGAGGGCAGGGATAAGGGGAAAAAATGAGAACCAAGACCTGTCATGTAAAGGTACAAGATCCCAGTGATGAATGTAACTGTACTGTGTACCTAAAATGTACCAATAAACTCAATGAGAAAAAAATAAATAAAATAAAAAGTGAGCGTTGGAAATTAGTTATTTGGATATTATCATTTCTTTCAGATATTAGCAGATAATTGATTTCTCATCAACTAGCTTATGGTATTATTATATCAACCACATGGAAATTTGTATTTTTATTTTTTTCTTCATTAGACCAGTTTCAGTCCTGTATTTCTATGTTAGTGAATCCATGGAACAGCATGAAGAATTACATTGCATAAGAAACATGTGTTTAGTTATGTTTCTTCACAGAAGAATTCACTCATGTCAGGAAGCAGTGGCACCTATATTAGAGATGGCCACCTCAAACACAATTTGACTTGGAAGAAAATATCATGTTAGCTGAAATATCTAGGAATAGATACTTTTTATGAGTGGCAAATATTTGAGAGAAAACCCTTCTGTATGTCTTATGAACATTTGTCCTTGCAAAATGATTTATAAAATGTTACTATTGTTAACATTTTAAGGAGTGGAAAGTATAAAATTTTTATTAAAGCTGGCCAGCTGTATAAGACAGATTTGCTTTATTACAACAAAACATCTGAGGAAGCTAACTCATAAAGAGAAAATATTTATTTAGCTCATAGTTTTAGGGTTAAAAATCTGAACAGTGGCATAGTGCAGGCTTGTTGATGATGGTCCCTTGGATTTGTGACCACATGGTAAGAATGGCAAAATTGGGAGTACATGTTGGGGGCAAGTGATTACATCTCAAACTGAAGTGTATCTCAGGCAAGTGATTACATCTCAGAATGTCTTAGTTACTTTTCTCACTGCTGAGACAAAATACCCAACCCTCAAAGTTAAAGAAAGAAAGGTTTGTTTAGCTCACAGTTTGTAGAGGTTTCAGTTGGTAATTGGCTGTCTCCAAGGCAAAGTGGCATAGTAGAGAGGCATTGCAGAGGAAAAATTGTCCATGGCAAAACAGGGCAGGCAGAAGGCAGCAAGCAGTGAGTGACAAGGGATGACACTCGCTTTCTCTCTGTCTCTTACATTTTACCCGGGCATCCTACCCTTGGAGGAAATAGGATTCACACCTTTAATCCTAGCATCACACCTTGAGTCAGTTTCAGCATTACATCCTTGATCCTAGCATCACAAACCCTAGATCCAGTCACCTCCAGAAAGCCCTATCTATGACAGCATGAGGCTTGGGGTGGACATCTAGACACAAATAACACAGAGATAGGGAAGAAAGGAGCAAGGGAGGGTAGGGAGAGGAGAGAGATAAAAAAAAGAAGAAAAAGGAGGAGGAGGAGAAAGAGGAGGAGGAGGAGAAAGAGCCCCCTACAGCCCCCTATGATTATAACCACATGATCTCCAACAAAGTCCCACCTCTCAAAGTTTCTATCACCTACCAATAGTGTCACCCGGCGGATCAAGTCCATAACATAAGGACCTTTAGTGGACACTACCCTCATTCAAACCATAGCCCCAAATATTACCAAAAATGATAAACTTGGGCCTCATGATAAAGAGAACTTCTGAAATAATTCTTTTATTTAATTGATCATCAAATATGCATTGTGTGCCTAAATAAATATCAGAGGTGAAGAAATAGTGATGGGCAAAGCAAACTTGTTTTCAGCTTTTTTGAAGTTTATAAGTCAGTAAGTCAAATAAACATTAAACTACACAAAAGTATAGAGTAAAAGTAGATATTTGAGATGAAGGAAACATCTAGATTATGCTAGACACAATATAAAGTTTGAACCATTAATTCAGTCTGAAAGACTTTGTAGTTAATGGAAATACAATTGCAATGTCAAGAAGGCCAAAGACTGAGAAAAGAGAAAAGTGAGCTTAAACTTTATTTATGAGCTATTTAAACTATTGCTATATCACAAACTTTGTACTTGAACATGAAATCTTAAGAAATTCAAATGATGAAGCTCCCTGTATCAGTCAGTATTTGCTAGAGAAATAGATATAACACAAGATATATAGATGTATATGAGAGTTTACAAGATTGGCTTACAATAGCCACTCACAGGAGCAGATTAGAAAGAGTGCAGAGGGTCTGTCTGCACACTGGAGACCAAAGGATTTAGTTGAAGGTCTGGAGCTAACTTCAGTGACCTGTGGGGATCTGTATCAGGAGGCTGATGGGTCTGTGAGGGAAAGCTTGAGTCAGCACCAGCAGGCAGGACATGGTATCCAAGTGTCAGTATTCCCCACAGGAGTACAGGAGTAGAAGGGGAGACCATGGTGGCCTTAGGTCTCATTGAGTTAGAAAGTCAACTCCCACAAAAGCCATTAAAGAATTCCAATTTTGCAATGCTGTATCTTTAGAGCCACTCCTGGTACCAAAATCTTTGTGTTACTTTTCTCTCGTTGCTGAGACATAATACCCAACACCCAAAGTTAAAAGGGAAGAAGTTTATTTGGCTTACAGTTTGTAGAGGTTTCAGTTCATAGTCACCTGGCTTTGGGGAGACATCTAAATACAAACAATAACACTTCTCTAAAACAAATGCCATCTCTAAAATGTTCACAGTTTGTTTAAATTTTATCTGTTTTTTATTGTAGTGGAAAGGGTGCTATAAACATCGATGACTTTTAATGGGAAAGAAAATATCTTATATAAATATTACTGTTTTCATTACTTTTCTCATTGCTGAGACAAAAATATTCAACACCTAACATTAAAGGAGAAAAAGGTCTATTTTAGCTCACAGTTTGTAGAGGTTTCAGTCCATAGTCAGTTGGCTCAAAGGCGGGGTGGCATGGCAGAAGGCACTGTTGAAAAATAGTTCATGGAAAAGCAGGGCAGGCAGAAAGCAGCAAAGCAGCAAAGTCTTAATCCCAGCATCACACACCCTAATCCAGCCACCTTTGAAATACTATCTATGACCAGATAGTATGAGCCCTCTGAGGACATCTAGATACAAGTGATAAAACAGTTACATAGAAAGCTTTCATTTATTACTGAGTAATTAGGTCACAAGTCTCTTTAATTTTCTTTTTTCTACTTCTGTTGAATAGTTGCAATAGTTAAAAGTTGTTTCTTGAAAAAAATACCTTTTGGGTTTTACAGTTTATCTGTTATGTTAGATAGGTTTGGGTATATTAGCTATTCATACACAAATACATTGATTATACAAATTTAAGAAATGTGTTGCTTGTAAAGATATTTAAAAGCAACTATTATCTTCAGTCAGAACACTTTCATCTATCTATCTATCTATCTATCTATCTATCATCTATCTATCAATCTCATTTCTTTGGGGATTAGGCATTACAGAGAAAGTAAACCTCTTCTTTTTGCTCAAAATGTTTATTTATAAAAAAGAAAGTTGAAATTTTTTCTCATCTACATTAGGGGAGCATGAATAGTTAGAATTTATAATAGCATATAAAGAACAAATAGCTCTTTTATAGGAATTAATAATTCTTTTATAGTAATAAATAGGGATGTGTTACCATTAAGTTTATGGGGTTCTCTTTTAGGTTAAAATTAAGTCATAATACTAGCTTTGTTAGAATAGGGGTATGTGAGAAAGCAATGTGTTTTCTTTTTTTAAAGAAAACTTTTTAGGTACCAGGGATTGAACTCACAACTTTGTGCTTATGAGGCAGCTGTGTTGCCACTGAACTAAATCCCCAGCCCAAGAAAACATGTTTATTATGGAAAGCCTCAAACTAACACAAATGTAGAGAAAATAGAATAAGGGGTCCCCATTACCCCATACCAACATTTAGCAATTATCAACATATAAGCAATTTTGTTTTAATTATCCTTACACTATATCACACAACTCTTGTTGGATTATTTTTTAAAAATCCAAGGGTTGGGGATTTAGCTCAGTGGTTCTGTCACTTGCCTTAGAAGCACAAGGGACCTGAGTTCAATCCCTGTTACCAAAAAAAAAAAAAAAAAAGGAAAGAAAGAAATAGGAAATCCAAGACATAGTATCATTTCATTTGTAAATAGTTTGGAAATTCATATTTTAAAAATCATGTACCTGAACATATAAATTATCACTGCATAATTTTAAGTTTAGAAACATTGCATCTAAACATTTTCAAACCAACTATGGAAAGAGATTTATGATTCTATCATCTGAACTGAAGCCATCCAAAAATC